CCACTACTTATCTGTCAGTATTCTGCATTGAACACCTATAATTGAAGACCAGGTGAATTGTGGGATGAAATAAAAAACATCATATAGGAAGAAAGCAAAAGGTCATTAAAAAGACAGGAAAGGAGGAAAAGATCAAAATAGATATCAGAAGACTCTGAAACTTGCTTTTGAACTAAAAGTAGCTAAAACAAATTGAAGAAATGATGATGTAAAAGAGCTGAACAAAGATTTCCAAAAGGGGCTAGAGAAGAAAAAGTGAAGTATTATAATGAAAGGTCCACAGACCTGGAGTTAGACAGTCAAAAGGGAAGAGCACACTTGCTATTTCTCAAGCTGGAAGAACTGAAGGAAAATTTCCAGCTTGAGATGCAGTATTGAAGGATTCTATGAGGAAGATATTGAGTGATGCAGGAAGCATCAAGGGAAGATGGAAGTTATACACAGAGTCACTGTACCAAAAATAATTGGTTGATGTTCAGTTATTTCAGAAGGTAGCATATGATCAAGAACTGATGGTACTGAAGGAAGAAGTCCAAATTGCACTGAAGGTATTGGCCAGAGGGAAAAGAAAAGGCTCCAGGAATTCATGGAATACCAATTGAGATGTTTCAGTAAATGGACACAATGCTGGAAGTGTTCACTTGTCCATGCCAAGAAATTTGGAAGATAGCTACCTGGTCAAATGACTGGAAAAGGTCCATATTTGTGTCCATTTCAAAGAAAAATGATCCAGTGGGATGTGAAACAATATCACTAATTTCATATGCAAGTAAAATTTTGCTGAAGTAATTACAATTTGATTATAGCAGTAATAGGTAGGGAATGGCCAGAAATTCAACCTGGATTTAGGAGAGTACGTGGAAGAAGGCATATCATTGTTTTTGGCATATGGATTTTGGCTGAAAGTAAAGAATACCAGAAAGATGTTTACCTTTATTTTATTGACTATGCAAAAACATTTGACTGTGTGGATTATAATAAACTATGAATAACATTGCAAAGAATTGGAATTCCAGAACATTTATTGTGCTCATTACTCACTGCTGTTGAGTCGGATCCAAATCATAAAGACCCCTCCTTGGGTTTCTGAGGTGGTATCACTATGGAAGTAGATTGCCCAACCTTCCTTCTGAGGAGTGGTTGGTGGGTTTGAACTGCCAGCCTTCTAGTTAGCAGTCAAATGCCTTAGGCACTACACCACCAGAACTCACCTATATATAGACAAAGAGGCAGTTGTTCAAACAGAACAAGGGGATGCTGTATGATTTAAAATCAGGAAATATGTGTGTCAGGGCTGTATCCTTTCACCATACTTATTCAGTCTATATGGTGAGCAAATAATGTGAGAACCTGGACTATATGAAAAAAGAATACAGCGTCAGGATTGTATGAAGACTCAATAACAACCTGAAGATGATGATACACAGATGACACAACGTTGCTTACTAAAAGTGAAGAAGACTTGAGGCACTTACTGTTGAAGATCAAAGACCCCAGCCTTCAGTATGGATTACACCTTAACAAAAATGAAACAGAAATCTTCACATTTGGACCCATAAGTGACATCATGATAAATGGAGAGAAGATTAAGGTTATCAAGGATTTCATTTTACTTGGATCTGCAGTCAATGCCCATGGATGCAGCAGTCAGAAAATCAAACAGTGTGTTGCATTTGGCAGATGTGCTGCAAATGACCTCTTTAAAGTATTCAAGAGAAAAGATACCACCTTGAAAACTAAGGTGCATCTGACCCAAGCCATGGTATTTTCAATAGCTTCATATGCATGTGAGAGTCAGACAATGAATAAAGAAGACTGCAGAAGAACTGATGCTTTTGAATTATGGTGTTGGAGAAGAATATTACATCTACCATGGAGTGCTAGAAGAATGAGCACATCTGTCTTAGAGGAAGTACAGCTGGAATGTTCCTAGAAGGGAGAATAGCCAGACTCCATCTCTTGTACTTTGGTCATATTGTCAGTAGGGATCAGTCCTTGGAAAAGGGTATCATGCTTGGTAAAGTAGAGGGTCAGCGAAAAAAGGGAAGATCCTCAATGAGATGGATTGGCACAATGGCTGGAATGATGAGTTCAAGCATAGCAGTGATTGTGAGTATGTTGCTCAACTGGGCAGTGTTTTGTTCTGTTGTACATAGGATCACTAGGAGTTGAGACTGACTCAAGGGCACCTACCACAACAAGGCTCATGACAGCCCTAGGCATAAGGATGGATTGGTGTCAAAGATACTAGAATCTATAGGATTCATTAGTATATGAAATTTCAGATATGTCTAGGGGTGCAGGGAAAGGGCATTTGCCTCTAGACACATCCAATATTGCTATATAATTGCTGATCTGAGGCATTTTTCCATAACTTCAAAGTTTGAATCAGTTTCTCGCCCGATCCCAGCTTGTCTTTGATGTTGACAATTGTCTTGAGTCCTATCATGAGATCTTCAATAGATATATAACTCACCAAAATTTTGATAAAGCAAAATCAGTTCCATCCCACTCGGTGGATCTCCATAGAGGGCTTGTTACTAGTCAGTTTCAAGTAATCTTTGCCTTTAAATGCCAAGTAGATCACTTTAAGTGAGTTGAAAGACTTGGCCTGGGTCAAGGAGACGAAGGCCCTTGACTTTTTCAGTAATAAAGACACAGGCCAAACGCCTGGGAAAAGTACTCTTCAGGGAGATGAAATAAAACGCATCATAGTTGGTGATGATCAAGTTGATTTTTACTTTTCATGGTTTCATTCTTGTTTGGGGTTGTGATGATGTACGTTTTCTTGTTCTCACATCTAGTAAATTAGGTTCTGATACTTTGAATTGGTGGTTGTAGAGGTGCATTTTTTGCCTCAAATGTCATCCCTTCTCACTGTAACATCATATTTTCTGGTGCATAAGTATTGGGGGAGCACATCAGATCCTTTATATCATCTACTTATTGTCCATTTGTTACCTCTGGATCCCACTAGCCCGTCCATATGGAATCACCTCTAAGTTAGTTCTTGTTCTCTTCCCTAAGGGCCCTTTATGCTCAATGGTTCTTTCTAATTATTGGTTTGAAAGTCACTTAGAGACTCCCACTTCATATTGGGGTAGAAAAACCTTGAAGACTAAGCTCTTTTCTGCCTCTATACTTTATGCAAGTAGTTCTCCTCTGTAGTCATCTTACGTGTCTAGAGCATTATTAGGACAGGAAGGCTGGGTCCTTTCTGCTATTATATAAGCCATTGGCCAACCCCTACCCCTGAGCCATGATTCAACTCTTTTCCCAGGGACTACCAACACCCACACACCTAACTCTTTTTCTTCCAACACCCATCCCATTGGTATTTTCATTACCAATGTATTATTTAAGTTTCCTTTTTTGATTTCTTCTGTGATGCATGGGTTATATGGAAGTGTGTTGTTTGCTTTCCAAAGGAATTCTATGCTGTAGGTAAAGTATTATATAAATACCAATTAATTAAATCATAGTGATGGTTAATGTTGTTCTAATTTCCTATATTCTTGCTAATTTTTTCTCTAATGGCTCTATCAATTTTTGAGAAAGAAATATTTTCAACTTTGAGGATTTGTTTATTTCTTCTTTTAGTTCTTTTTTAGAAAAAATAGGTAAGTTTTACAGGGATATATGCCTTTATTTCTATTTTGCCTTTGATTTACATAATTTTATAATAATTATTTATGGAAAAATTAGTAAATAAACATGAAGTCTAATTTTAGGGTTACTTGACAGCAATTTTAATTATATCAAAATAGTAAAATAATATTAATGTGATGGCTTTTCCTATTTAGGCCTTCAGAAATCAGTGAAGTACAAAATATCCTTAGTAGATGTACTTAACTTCAGCATCTTTTCTTGCTATCTTTTAGAAAGTAAGTGCAAGTTTTTGAGCATGAAAGTTAAAAAATTTCAAGGTGTAAATACAGTTCTGGTATTATATTTTCATTACATTTTCAAATATATGGCTAATCCATCCTTTAACAACTTCCCTTTATGATTATGAAGTATATTAGAAATAGAATGCATTCTATAAATATTACTTTGCATATAGCTTTATTTTGACTTTAGAAAATGCCAAAAAAAAAACAAACTCCACTGGCATTGAGTCAATTCTGACTCAGTGATTCCTTTTGAATTTCCGAGGCTATAAATCTTTACAGAAGCAGATTGCTCAGTTTTCCTTCCGCAGAGTGGCTGCAGAAGGAACTGCCAACCTTCTGGTTAGAGTCAAATACCTTAGGCACCATGCCTCAGAGCTCCTTATAGTTGGCCATTAATGCTTTTTTTTCCCTTTGCATAATATGCATGTAATCTAGTTTCTTTTATAAGAATAATAAAAATTTATAGTTTAACATTCCTGAAGCTCAAACTTCATTCTTAATTCTTATAACTTATATATTAAGTTGTAATATACTTGTGTTAAGGGACAAATCATAGCAAATTCCTTGTGTTACTCCACTAAATTCTAAGATTAAATCTTTTTCTTTGCATTATTTTAGAAATAAAATGCCTTTCTTCTTTTTTTTACTCTATTTTTTCTTTCAGTATTCTGAAGTTTAAGGCTTGTTAATCAGATAGTTTGTTTTATATTTGGAGAGAAAGAGGCAAAGTCCTGTATCTACTTAGGGCTAACACAAAATAAATATTGTAGGGTACTTGGAAAGAACTTTTCTGGCTACAGTAGGTGAGAGGGTCTGCTATATGCAGTTTACTTTGAGTATCTGTTGTAGTGGACTAGACCAGATTTAGTCAGAAGGCTTTAATGATGTTGGCTTTCACACTAACTTACTTGACTTGAGGGAAATCATTGTCACCTGTTAAACAGTCAAATCATCTTATGTAAAGTATTTTTCAGTTTTATGAAATTGCATGATTATTTTTACTTCTGAATTATACAAAGACGTTTCAAAAATCAATAGTTATTATTTTTGTGGAAAATTAGGGATGATAAATTAATTAATACATTTTTTTAATATCTTTTTTTTTAGAGTATCCAGTACAAAATTGGATCTACAGAAAAAATCTGAAACCCTTGAAAAGTTTAAGCAAACACTTACCAAGCAAGAGGAAGAAAAAGTAATCATTAAGCAAGAAATTGAAAATTTAAAAGAAGATGCAATAATGCAGCACAAGGAATTAAATAACAGAATTCAAGCAGCAGAAACAGAACTACAAAAAGTGAACATGGAGAAAGAAACTCTAATAACAGAACTTTCGGCAACAAAAGAGAAGTTATCAGAAGTTTCTGATTCTTTGAAAAACTCCAAAAGTGAGCTTGAAAAGGAAAATCAGAAAGGAAAAGCTGTGATATTAGAATTGGTTAGTTGTTTACATTTACTTTCTCAGGAAGAAGTGATTATTTGAGATTGACTGGTTTTTCTGCTTATTCGGTGTTGACTTTTCATCCAACATTTAATAATGTAAAGTAGTTTTTTATGAGGAATTAAGATTGCTTAACTTGAGAAAAAGATAGCCCACAGTAATGGCACACATTATATATAATTTTTTAAAGGGCAAGGACATTTTTACTTGAATGTAGCAGTCTTTCTCTATTGCTAGTATGATGCTAGATTTGGGAGAGACTGCAGTATGTTTATCCACAGAGATATAACTACTAGTTGAAATATTCACTTGTCTGGGGAACAAACACAAAGACTAGAAACAGAGTAACAACAAAAGTAAAGCTCTTCTGCTGTTAATATAAAGGTCAGTAAGAGTATACTGTTCAGTATGTTCCTTTCTATTTTGAGAGAACATCTTCTAGCTAAAATCTGGTCTCTTGAGTTATATGTGATTTTTAAAATTTATTGTTTTAATACTTTCTTTTTCGTATAATCTTACTTCCATTTTCTTCTGTTCTACTTTTAAAATAACATGACCAGTTAATTAATTATAATTAATTCTGTGAAATAAAAATGTGATTTCAAAAGTATTCTAAAATATTTTAATTAGAACACTTTGAAACCACATTTTTAGATGGCTAAAATATTTTATGGTGATTTATCTGTGAGTATGCATTGCTTATATATATACTATATAACCATTTATTGGTCCCTGAGAGTGAGTATCAACACTTGAGAGAATAATAGAGTGGAATCATGGCTCTTTTTGTATCAAGAAGTTGGTTGATGATGAAAACCCTTAACCTTTTGCTGTCCCTTTCCCTTTATAATATTTTTTTAAATAACATTTTTTATTACTGAAATGAATAAACCTATCCTTTTTTAGCCCATAAATGATGTTTCAAGGTGTAAATGCAGTTCTGGTGTTATATAAATATCCATTTTCAAATATATGGCTAATCCATCCTTTAACAACTTCCCTTTATGATTATGAAGTATAGTATATTAGAAATAGCATGCACTCTATAAATATTATCTTGCACAGGTATTACTAAACATAAATAGTACATGTCTTACACTTACTATAAATATTTTCTGTGTAATATAGTTTCCATTTTTTTTAAGGAAAAAACTTGCAAAGAATTGAAGCTTCAACTTCAAGTACAATCAGAAAACACACTTAAAGAAAGGAATGAACTGAAAAAATCACTTGAAAAAGAGAAGGAGGTACAGTTTTCTTTTTTCTGTGACATAAAATGTGTAAAGCATAATGAGATCTTTATGTAAGGCCACAGTAAGGAGAAAAGGACGCACAAAAGTGAGGTTAAAGAGAAGCTTTTATTCTGAGTTTCCGGGGGAGGTTTACGGGCCCCCCAAGAGGGGCCCGGGCGAGGTTCACGGGTCCCTGAGAGGGGCCCAGGAAGTCGCACCACCTGGCTGGGGAGGGGAGAGTTTATAGTCTTGTGGAGGACCTAAGCGGGGACACTAAGGAAATAGTGGGGTCCAATTAGCTGTTAGTATGGGTCTGCACTTAATTAGCATGAGGGGGCTTCACAAGAGGAAGCTTGCCACTGCATGGGACTTTCCAGTCTGGGC